GATCTCGACTCACTGCAAGCTCCGCCTCCCGGGTTCACGCCATTCTCCTGCCTCAGCCTCCCGAGTAGCTGGGACTACAGGCGCCCGCCACCACGCCCGGCTGGTTTTTTATATTTTTAATAGAGACAGGGTTTCACTGTGTTAGTCAGGATGGTCTTGATCTCCTGACCTCGTGATCCGCCCACCTCAGCCTCCCAAAGTGCTGGGATTACAGGCGTGAGCCACCACCGCGGCTGGCCAGTTGTTGGAAAATCTTAATGTTTCTTTTCTCTTTTCTATCTATCCAAGGCTGGAGTGTAGTCTCGTCTCACTGCAGCCTCCACCTCCCAGATTCAAGCAATTCTCCTGCCTCAGCCTCCCGAGGACTACAGGCACCTGCCATTGTGCCTGGCTAATTTTTGTATTTTTAGTAGAGACGGGTTTTCACCGTGTTGGCCAGGCTGGTCTCAAACTCTTGACCTCAGGTGATCCACCCAGCCTCAGCCTCCCAAAGTGCTGGGATTATAGGCGTGAGTCACTGTGCCGGGCGAAAAATCTTAATGTTTCTTAACTGCAGTATTCTGAAGCTGATAAAGCACTTGTAAAACTTTCAAAATAATTGAAAGCCATTTTCTTTTTAAGATAGAAATGTGTACTTCTTAGCATACTAGAAGTAACTTTAAAATTTTAAAGTAATGTTATTTAATGAGTACAGAGTTTCAGTTTTGCAAGACAAAAACCTTATCTCTTACAAAATAGTGCGAAAATATACTTAACACTACTGAGCTGCACACTTGGAAATGGTTAAGATGGTGAATTTTAAGTTATATGTTTTCCGCCACAATTTTTAAAAACTAAAGTAAGATTTTTTTTGGAGCTAAAACAAAAAAAAAGCATCTACAGGAAGTGGAACGAATTCAGCTCTTATGTTTTCTGGCAGCATGTGGGAGGACTTGGGGTCACCATTGTGGGCCATGTTGTTTTCACTGATGACTACTTCTGCAGAAACATAAGTTTTCCCGGAATTAGACTCAAGCAAAATGTAGGAGGCAGGCTCTTGTAGAAGAAGAAACACTGGATCATGTGCTGGACAAAAACTTCAGTTTCCGTTTTCTAAAAAAAA